AAAAGAAAAAAGCAAGATGAATTATGAAGATTAGTTAAGATTTTGAACTCCAAACAATCCAAAATTTCTTTACAGAACAGAGTCACACAGCGATCACTTTTTTTTTTTTTAAAGAAAGGACCGTTGAAGGAAGGACAAATAATTGGTGTCCTTGATGGATTTCAAGATTAGAAAGGCAAAGTTTGCAGAAAGAAGGAACTTGAGGTAACTTTAGAGAGGCAAAATAAAGTTACAATATAAATAGAATTATAACTGACGTCACAAAGTCTGGAAGCTTTCCTTCCCTTCCCTGTTTCCTTTCTTTTCCTTTCCTTTCCCTTTCTCCTTTCTTTCCCTTCCCCTTTCTCCTTTCTTTCCCTTTCCCCTTCCCCCTTTTCTTCCCTTCCCTGTTTCCTTTCTTTTCCTTTCCTTTCTTTTCCCTATCCTTCCCTTCCCCTTTCTCCTTTCTTTCCCTTTCCCCTTCCCCCTTTTCTTCCCTTCCCTGTTTCCTTTCTTTTCCTTTCCTTTCCCTATCGTTCCCTTCCCCTTTCTCCTTTCTTTCCCTTCCCCCCTTTTTTCCCTTCCCTTCCCTATTTCCTTTCTTCTCCTTTCCTTTCTCCTTTCTTTTTCTTCCCCTTCCCTCTTTTCTTCCCTTCCCTGTTTCCTTTCTTTTCCTTTCCTTTCCCTATCGTTCCCTTCCCCTTTCCCCTTTCTTTCCCTTTCCCCTTTTCTTCCCTTCCCTTCCCTGCCCTTTCCCTTCCCTTCTTCCTTCCCTTCCCTTTCTTTCCCTTTCTCCTTTCTTTCCCTTTCCTTCCTCCTTGTTCCTATTTCTATCTTCTTTCTTACTCACTGTTCTTTATGTTCTTCATTTCTTTTCTAACATTTGTCATTCTTTGATCTTGTTAAAAATTCTTCAGTCAAAGCTATATTAAAAAAAAAAAACCCTGAACACAAACTAAATCTTGGTAACTAGGTGCCATTAGTAAAAAAAAAAAAAAAAAAAGGTGAAGAAGTTGACACAAATCAACAAGCTATGTTGGAAGAACCCTGATTTTAGATGTAAATCAAAGTCTCTTGAGTGAGAAATAAAAAAAAGCATTCAAACTGCAATTGTGTACGGTGCACAACCACAACTGGCATGCATTACAGGTTGTTCCGCTCAGCCAAGAGATGCTTAGAGGGGATCATAAGGGATATTTTTTTAAAACTTACACTTCTTCCGTTTTCTTTTCCAATCCATCGCCATTCCCTTTTTACACAAATAGAGAAACACAGTTATTTCTCTCTCTCTCTGCTGTGGCAAAACAAATCCTCTACCCTTCAATTGTTATTTTGCATGATTATCTCTCTCTATAAAAGCGAAATGCCCCTCACGCATCATCACAAAATCTCCAGAACCATAAAGGCCACAAACTTGAAATTTGGCATCTATGTTCCTCTTGGCTTCTAGGGGCTCACTAAGAAAGGATTTTTCAAAATGACCATCAGAGTGTTTCCTATATTCTTATTATTAACACGCTCTGATGCTAAGGAGTCCTACTCCCCCTCCCCACCTGGAAAGAAATCTCTTCCAAATGCAAAACACAAGCAGAGGAGAGGAGTTTCAGGTTCAGTTTCAGAGCGCCAAGCAGCTTTAGTACAGAACAGTTGAGCTAAGCCACGCCCAGGCTCCTTGCTGTCTCCTTCTTGCTCACACAGCAAATACTCTTTCAGTTTCCAAACAGCCCTCAACTCTCTCACACACTGACAGGACGCTATCCAGATGAATACCCATGGATGCTGGTAGGCAGAGGCAGAATTTCCCCCCCCCCTTATTTTCCTCCCCAAAAACT